TCTCTCTCTCTCTCTCTCTCTCTCTCTCTCTCTCTCTCTCTCTCTCTCTCTCTCTCTCTCTCAATATATAGCTTCAAGTACCTAATAAGGTCTTTGCTCCAACACCACTCAACGTTAAAAGATGTGTATTATATTAATTTGGCAATACCATTCTTCGATTAACAAGATGATCCTTGATGTTCCTTGGAAATAATTCCAAGATATTTTATTTCCAAAAAAATCACAGATCACGTCCGAACAGGCTCGTCCTTATGCTACAGGAGGTAGACCGTAACTTTTTTGGAAAAGATTCAAAGTAAACCTAAAAGGTCGACATTATTGCGTCAGTCGTCGATTCAAACACAGCATGATCGACTTATGAAGAATTCGGAAAGATCCAGAGTGATCCATTGGTTTGATAAGCGTAAGGTCTGTGATCAATATCAGTGTAAGGAATGTTAACGCTTTTACAGTAAAGAGCACTGATTCGTTCATTTTGATCGATACTTTAGCTGTGTAATTTCGATAGTCCGACAAATAGACAAAGTACTCTTTCAACGACAATAGTCGTTCATTTTAATTGCACTTTATACACTTTGTTTATTTATCTCTTATACTTCTACCAAGTACAAATAAGCCAAATTTCTAAGCTGATAAACGGGCAAAGATAAACATCAACGAGAGATAAATTGGAAAACGTCTGTTTTTTTTTCTTTTTCTCTGTAGTTGCGCTATACATTTTTTTCGCACGAGAATGTGCAGAGTTGAATTAAGCAAACCCAAGTACTGACTTGCTCAAAACGACTCTATACACGCGAATAAATTCACAAAGAGCAAACAGTAAGGCGGAAAGTTCTCAACTGCAGAATGTAGTTGGAAGATAGTAGAGAGAGTTGCAAGATCTGCTTTGTTCAGAATTTAAAGCTCGTGCTCTTCGAAAAGAGAAATGCCACGGTGTGTGGAATGTATCCCTCCGAATACACGAGCTTGATACTGTGATTGATTGACTCTCGTCAATGTCCTGTGCGTTCTTACCGCTTACACCTTCTACACCTTGTTATTTTTTTTCTTACTAACACTCCAAAACATTTCTTTTGTCTCAAAGTCGAAGTAAGAAATAAAAACAAGAGCACGCAGGCGAGGCAAATTTATTTCTAAGGCCAACAACTCACCGCCAATTTAGGAATGTGTACGATATCGGCGAAACGGCCCACCTCGACGAGCAACGTGAAGCGCCAGCGGCTGGCTGCAATCCTTGTAGCGTCGTCGTTGTCGGAGCGTGGCATGCAAACAGACGACGTCGGCTGTGCGCCGCCCGAGCGGCGGTGCACTATCAGTGTCGCTAGAACGTCGTCGTCGTCGCGCACTCGGTCGATCACACTTTGTTCTCGTTCGCGCACCACCGAAACTTGGCAATTGAAACGTTTGCGACGAATCACGGCGAACTCGTCTCGAGCACACTCTCTCTCTCTCTCTCTCTCTCTCTCTCTCGAGAACTCGCAATCTCGCGCACACAACACTGACCCCGCGAGAAGGTACGTTATCTACTGCGCGTGTGTGTCTCACGTATACGTAGCTTTGACATGCGCGCGCGCGAGCGCGCACGACTGAGGTTACACCCCGCACGGAGATTACAGATGGTCGCACCCTATGTATCGCGTTACCACTGCCGAGGAGGCGTATTCAAAGAGTACAATGCGTACGTGTGAACGGACAACGGCCAACTAGTTTTCAATCTTGCCCACAATCGTACGATCGCACAAAACACCTACACGTCACGCGCGTCCAAGAGCTACTACCGTCAAGTGCAAAGTGTCCAATGTGTTCGCCGGGTCGGGTTCTCCCGCGCATGCGCGCGGAATGTGCTGTTAGGAAAGTACCTAGCGTAAGAAAAAGGGGCGCGATAAGCACAACAGTTTTGATGCGAACACTGTCCCTCTGCACTTACCTTCTTCAGTTACAATATAAATTATGTTATAAGTTATGATTGTAACTTGATATTTTTAACTGTCTCTTTCTACATGTACATTCATCATGGCTGTCAAATATTTGAGGATTTGAATATAATGTTTGAAAGCAGTTGTGACAGTTTGACATTTTAAAGTTTAGTTTGCGTAAAATGACGTTTTATTCGCTTCATGCGGATATCAAATAATCAACAGGAAAATGATACAATAGTAGAAGTATATTAAAAAAACTTGGATCTCAGTATATGAACAAAGCTTCCAAGAGTCGTTATAAAAAGAAGAGCAAGGTAATAGAAAGTATAGCCATTCTCTTGCGTAGTTACGCGTAACGCATGAATGGACGCAAAATATTAACATACGCGAATTAAACCTAAAACTGTCAAACTATCACGACTGTTTTCATTTGTCGGATAATCGTAATGAATTCTTACATAAAAAGGAACACGGATAGTCCAAAATATTTAGTAATCCGAAATCTAGTAAATATGTGTCTCGTGTACAGAGAGATCGCTTGTGTTTCTCTTTCATTCTTATAAAATTTTAGAAAATTGTATACAATTTATGTATGTTATCTTTTCTTCTCACATTAGGTACTTCTCTGAGAATATATTTCACGCGCATGTGCAGAGGAGTCTGGGCTGGGTAATCCAGCTCGGCCATCGACACCGGCAGTGCCACCTACTGCACACTGTTGCGTACCATCGAACGCAGCGCGAATCCTCATATCGATTTGCGACCACCAAATAATCGATCAATAAAAGTTGTTCTAACTTTTTAGTAAATTAACTAATAATTAAATCACATGTCTGTCTTTGTCTTGAAGGAAGAAAGGAATTGAGTCAAACAGATAGCGTGTTTAACTGACCCTGAGTGGGAGCGTCCTGATTGACCACGGTACGATTGGACACAACCAACCGATGAAAAGAATTATCTAGTGAATTACTAGGTCGAAACAATCATTACAATCTGTGTCCAATCATATCGTGATCAATCGGGTCCCACCCTGAGTTAATCGCTCCGAGAGCGATTAATGACGTCATAAGTCTCTACTAGCCAATCATAAAGCTTATAAGTACTTGTTCGACCAATAAACGTAGACTGAATAACCCAGAGTGGGCTAACCCAGAGCCGGTCGAACATACTATAAGTTATACATAGACCAAGGCTGCGTTCCGAAATTCACTGCCAGTACTGAAAATCTATAGTTTATGTTACGTATATTATAGAATTTCAGTACTGGCAGTGAATTTCGGAACGTAACCCAAGCATTCTGTTCGCAAAATAAAGCCGGAAGTTGGCAGTTTAAAACAGTGAGAAAGTTGATTTGAACTGAAATATATACTACCTAGAGAACTTCAAGTAAAGAGAATCGCCAACTTGGTCACTAGCTGATTGGTTGGCATAAATATATACGGATTTAGACATTGCGACGCCAATGCAGAACAAATGCTTTTATATTTATATATATATATGGTTTTGCATCGGCGTCGCAATGTCCAAATCCGTACATGTTTATGTCAGCCAATCGCAGAATAGCTGAGTAGCTGGTCACATAATCAAGTTGGCGATTCTCTTTACTAGAGGTTTTCTAATACTACCTAGAACGCGCGCTGCCTTTTGAGGCGTGCGGGATGAGAGAGAGAGGTTCCTTGTTTCTCCTCTTATCCTTGTGTAGTTCATAGTATAGTCGAGCGTGGGGAGAATGTGATACAATCCAAGTTAAAAGTTAGAGATAATATGAAAAGCAGTGACCACTGAATGGCAATGACCAGGGTTTTTCGAGCATTTTCTCGGGTTTTTCACATTATACGGTAAAATACGTATAAAAACGCATAAAACGTATAATACCTAGGATTGCTTGCTGGATGAAGATACTCTATTCTGATTAGTCCGTCTTCAGAAATGCACCAATCAAAACAGAGTATTTCCATCCAGCAAGCAATCCAGCATGAAAACAAGCATCGTGTGCCGCTGGCTTTACTTTTACTCCTTACTCCATTTATTGTAGATCGGGCTTAATTGCTCGCGTGTCAATAAAGGGACGTCTACATTGGAAGTAAGCAGTAAGAAGTAGGAAGTAAGAATAAGAAATTGACCAATCAAAGTTGATTATTCTTCTCACATTCGACTGTGGTTGGTCAATTTCTTACTCTTACTTCCTACTTCTTGCTATTTACTTCTAATGTAGACGTCCCTTTAAAGCGTTGTTTATAATATGCAGAATAAGCTTGGAGTAAGAAGTAAGCCATAAGAATTAACCAATCATAAACGATTATTTTTATAATAATCGACTACGATTGGCCAATTCTTACGGCTTACTTCTTACTCCAAACTTACTCCGCATATAGACGACGTTTTAAGCGTCTTCTACAATGGCAGTAGGAGTAGTAGTAAGAAATAAGCAGTAAACAAATTGACCAATTCCATTCTTACGTTTCAAAAATAATCGATTGTGATTGGTCTATTTACTTACTGCTTATTTCTTACTACTACTCCTTACTCCATCTATTGTAGATTGGGTCTAATATCTAACTTGACTTGGCGCTTTATCCTAACTTGAGGCTAACCCAATCTTAACTTAATCCTAACCTATTCTTAATGTAAGAAGCATCAGATGCCACATTGAAAGAAAAAGAAAAAAGAAAAATTTCGACCAAGTGCTACCAACAACAACAACATAAAGAAAAAGAAAAGCATCGAACTGTTTGATGTTTCCTGTGTCTTTGTTACAAGACGCAGTAGTTCTACTGCAATAGAATCTTTACAATTGTCATATCAAAATTTGCTCAGCAGTTTACTATTGTGAGTTATATTAACGTGTATGTGAAGGAATACAAGTCAAATAGTCAATTTAGTTGTCAAATATATTCATTCGAAGAAACATTATCGCAAGTCACAGTGTGTGTGTGTGTGTATGTGCGCGAAAACTCCGAAATAATTCGTGGTTAGTGCAATAAAAGAAGAGTCAAATTGTATTTTTTTTTCAAAATTTGTTGATATTTTACGATGACGTCGCTTCATATGAACGACAAGATCTCTCTTGACCCAGAGAGTTGCGAATGCAAGTAAGAATTTTGTTGCTAAATAGCCTACATTATTAAGTACATAGTTATGAATCTCCGCAAAAATATTACACAATTGTAATACATTCGATTAAATAATAACCGATTGTTAGTTTACTGTAGGTTAGTGTACTACATCGTTTTTTTTTCGAAAGATATGGTTTGAAAAGTTAAAATTGTTCGGTAATGTAACAAATTGATTAATCGTTAAAAGTGATATTTTTTCAGGGAATTTATCTTGCAGTTAATGTGTAACAATGTACATATCATAACAATAGTTCTCAGTTTCCTTGTACTTGGACTTATTGTCTGTCAAATATAAAAAATATATCGATTTGATAATATTTATTTTTATATGGCTTTATATGGCTGTTAGTTCAGTATAAGAAAAGCAATAATAAATGCAAACATATTTGGAACATAATATATGTTTTATACATACATGTAAATACACACATATTTTCAGAATAATTTATATTGAAAACATTAGTTATGCTTAGTAGAATAAAATATACAGTAAGTGATTCCAGGATGAAAAGTATTATGCTTTTAGATGTAGCCAATTTTTATTTTGAAATCTTTGTATATTTTCTTATTATATTATATAATTTGGAGGTATTTGTTATTTCTATGTGTGATCTTTCGCTCGCGGGGAAGGAGTGATATAGGAAATGATTCTTTGTACCCTTTTATACAAACATTTATTTTATGTGTCCCTAATTTACAAGTGTGTGTGTATGTGTGAGTCTAATTCCTTTATTTTATTCCTTTAAGTGTTCTGAGGACCGTTGCATTAAATCGTATTATTCTGTGGGCTCCTCCCAGGTCCTCCTTTTCCTAGGGTTCTGGTCGGATATGTTCCGTCTTCCCTTGTGAGTGCAGGGGTCGCCCTTGGGAGAGAATCCTGTCTCTTGGAGACAGTGGATGTTTCACTCAGGAGTCTCCTAGAGCCAGAGTCGTTGTTGGTGGCCGCGCGTTAACGGTTGCTGCGGGATATAGGCGACTCGAAGCTTCCACAGGGTAATAGTACCCGTTGTGGAGGCGGCCGGGGATGGAGATTCCGGCGATTTCCAGGCAATGGGCGAGGGAGTCAGCTCGCGTGTCGGCGAGTCTCGGTGCCGCTTCTCTAGCGGATGCGGTGGACGCTTCTTTAGCGTCCGGAGGTCTCGTTGCCGCTTCTACAGCGGAGGCGACTGCTGTGGACGCTTCTTCAGCGTCCGGAGAGTCTCTGTGACCGCTTCTCCAGCGGATGCGGCTGCTGTGACGCTTCTTCAGCGTCCGGAGACTCGGTGCCGCTTCTACAGCGGATGCTCGGACGCTTCTTCAGCGCCAAGAGGCTCGGTGCCGCTTCTACAGCGGATGTGGCGGCTGCGACGCTTCTTCAGCGGATGCGGCTGCTGTGACGCTTCTTCAGCGTCCGGAGAGTCTGAGGCCGCTTCTTCAGCGGATGCGGCTGCTGTGACGCATCTTCAGCGCAGTGATGGATTTTGGCAAGATATGTCTCGCGCATACGTACAGAGCAAACGCTCGGAGTCCTCACTGACGTATATACTTTCGTCGAATCTGAGATATCGTTAGGGCCCTGCGAGAAAAGAAATGTGAAGGAATTAGCAGGAGGAAGGAAAATTGCTTTGATAGGAATAGAGTGCAATATGAATAATAATAAGGAAATTGACATATTTGTTATTTACTGTAATACTCTCCTTTTTGGTTTCTTGCTCCTTTTCTCGATGCTACTTGATGTTGGCTGCTGCGGATCATCCATCTTCTTTGTTCTAACAAATTTATTATTTTTTCAGCTATTCACTCAGTACACGTTGACACTTGTTTATAAACACACATGAGAACAATACAAGGGCCTCTTATAGCACCTACTACTGCACTCTAGATACATTTTTGAACCCAGCTGATTTCTAGTTGTGACGTCAGCTTACGCATGTGCACGAAGCTTCCTGGGACGGCGAATATCTTGCCAAAATCCATCACTGCTTCAGCGTCCGGAGACTCGTTGTCGCTTCTACAGCGGATGCAGTGACGCTTCTTCAGCGGATGCGACTTTCTAGCTGTAGCAAAATCCTAGGAATAGTCAGAGCGGCGGAGTGTGTTGACCTTCCGCGGAGTCCGGCTTTTTATTGTCTGCTAATCATGATTTTCTCGCGAAAAAACCGCTCCCTGTGCGCGCCGCCTAACAGCGCCGCACGGAGGCTCTAGCGGTTGCGGCGGCGGCTCGCGTAACGGCGCCTATGTGACGGCTGCGGCGGTCGTACGCCGTTTCTCGTGTGGATCTATATTGATCCACCATATATAATATATTTTGTATATTATATATTTTCTTCTTGTAGGATTAAGACTCCAGAATCCAAGGCCTCGACGATAAATATGGTGACTAATGATCATGTGTTGGAGCGATTTGAAGAGATAATAAAGTCAAAAAATGATGATAGATTTTACAGAGGATTAGTACTAAAGAATAAGATGAAAGTTCTCCTAATAAATGATCCACGGACTGATAAGAGTGCTGCTGCACTGAATGTTAACATTGGTAATTTCAATTATATTTTCTTTTAATATGTTCCTTTAGTTCCTTTTTTTTTGGAGGAGGCACTTGCATTCATCAAACATCTTGCATTATTCAAGCTGATTTTCAATTCTCAGTCATGCTCTAAAGCTACTATAGCTATACTATAGCTTTTCCTTTTTATTTCAAGAAAAGACAGAAAGATATAGAATTATGCAAAAGCAACCAATTAATGCAAAGCTTGTTCCAATGTTATGTATTTGGTCAATTGTAATGAAAGGATTTTTAAGTTTCATATGTTGAATAGTTGGTTAAATAAGATTTCTTAAAAAAAATGAGTTTGTGTGCCAGATATATCTATATTACAGAGAGATCTTCTGTTTGATATATCGCAGAGAGACTTTCTGTTGGAAACAAAATTGTCCCGAGTTCACGAATTAACACTTTTAGACTGAATTTAAGTTATAATTACAGTTGAATTGAACGCTAGTTAAAATAAGTTGTGGAATCAGGCCTTAGAGATATTTTATTGCAGGCAGCATGTGCGATCCTGACGATTTGCCCGGTTTGGCGCATTTCTGCGAACACATGCTATTCCTGGGAACCGAAAAATATCCCGAGCAGAACGATTACACCAGGTATCTGTCGGAGAACGGCGGCATTAGCAATGCGACAACGTACTTAGATCACACTACGTATTACTTCGACGTGAGCCCGACAAAGTTGGGAGGTGGCTTGGAACGTTTCGCTCAATTCTTTTTGACACCTCTCTTTACGGATTCGTTGACCGAACTCGAGCTGAACGCCATTCATTCGGAGCATTTGAAAAATTTGGCGTGCGATGTTTGGCGATTCGATCAGTTGGAAAAGTCGTCCGCGAATCCCCAACATCCGTACTCCAAGTTTGCGACGGGAAGTAGGGAGACGCTGGATGTATTGCCGAAACAGATGGGCATCAACGTTCGGGAGAGACTGCTCGAGTTTCACGAAAAATATTATTCCGCTAATGTCATGTCGCTCTGCGTTCTTGGCGTAGGTAAGTCGACAATTAACGAGCTTATTCGAAAACGTTATGCCCCGTGTTTGTTTTTTTTTTCACACAAAAAATGTGACCAATGTGAATGTATAAAAAATAGAGAACATTTTCTATAATTTCTTTTCTTTTTAATGGGATATTTCAAATATGTCTTGATTGTACATATTACACACACACACACACACACACACACACACACACACACACACACACATATATATATATATATATATATAAAAGTCACATATCACGCTTTAGCGAAACATTTCTCAAGATCGGCATCTCTTCTGGAATAAACTCAATGTCCGGAACCATAATAAGTACAAGATTATATAAATAAATGTCGAATTTTTCGTTTTAGAGACTTTAGATAAGCTTGAAGAGATTGTGGTAAATCTTTTCAGTCAAGTACAAAACAAGGAAATCGATATTCCAATCTGGCGTGAGCATCCTTTCGACGATGAACATTTTCGTACCAAATGGCACATTGTTCCAATAAAGGATACGAGGAATCTACACGTTACATTTCCTATACCCGACTTACAAGAACATTATCAAGCTGCGGTAATATAATACTCTTTGATTGCTATATTTTATGTGATATTTATTAGATTTCTCCGATACAATAATGTTAATATTATCGCTACGATATAATTAACATGTACAATTAATTGTTTATAATTTACACACACATTATATATATGTATATATATATATATATATATATATATATATATATATATGTATATATATATATACATATACAGGATGTCTCATAATTGTAACACACCAACTCTATAGGGGCGTACAGCTATGCGAGAGGATCAGAAAAGTCCTCTTCCATTTTGCGATAACGCGTCTAGTTTATTAGTAACAATTGCGTAAAGTTTGGCGCTTGTCACGCGGCCTATAGACGCTCCGCGACGAGCTGTGTGCGTCGAGGCAGAGCGGAATGCGGCTCGCGCTGACCGCTGCGATGGCATCTTGATGCTTTGCCGCTGCGGGCGCGCGACGAGGCGACGATGAACGCGCCGCATTACCGCTCAGCCTCGACGCACAGCTCGCCGTGGAGCGTCTATAGGCCGCGACAAACTATATATATATATATATATATATCGTTATAGCCAGCATATTACGTCAGCCATTTGTTGGGACATGAAGGGGAAGGATCCTTGTTGTCAGCTTTGAAGACGACGAGGGGTTGGTGTAACTCTTTAATATGTGGAAAACAATCGTATGCTCGAGGTTTTTGTTTTTTCATTCTTGTTGTCGATCTCACCGAGGAAGGTTTCAAGCATGTCGATGATATCATTACGCTAATGTTTCAATATATCAACATGTTAAAGAAACAAGGCCCAGTCGAGTGGATTTACAATGTAAGCGATGCAACGATAGAAATATAATCTTGCATATAAGTTTAGTAATATATTTGTGATACAACGGCCAAAGACGTGATTCCTTATAAATAAAGCAAGAAAAACGTTTTCAAGCGATTTAATGGGTACAACTAGTTGTTCTCTTAATTTATTTTTCTCTCACGAGGAATCGCCTCTTGTTGTCGGTTATACTACAATTTACTCAATTAAATTTTTTAATGTCACAATATGTGGATACAAAATAATGGGATTTCGCGTTCATTGCAGGAATATAGAGATTTAGCGAGTGTGAATTTCCGTTTCATGGAGAAACAGCAGCCTCGCTCGTACGTATCTTCCAGAGTCACGGGACTATGGGATTATCCGATGAACGAAATTTTGTGCGGGGATTGTCTTTTTCCGCAGTGGAAGCCAGAGTTGATAGATACAATAGTGAATTGTTTAACGCCGCAAAATATTAGGGTTCATGTGGTTGCAAAAGCGTATGAAAACGTAGCGAATGAAACAGAACGTTGGTACGGTACTAAATATAAGAAGGAGAGCATATCGGCGGGAACAATTGACATGTGGGAAAATGCCGGTTATAATTCGGAATTTCACTTACCCGCTAAGAACGAGTTTATTCCATCGAGATTGGATTTGAAACCACGTGACGATAATGTAATTTGCTATTAATTTCTTATATACATGTGTGTGTATGTGTGGGTGCAAGTGCGCGCGCGTGCGTGTGCATTATGCTACTTTTCTCTTTTTTGAAGAATTTTTTTCTTTATAGCACTTGCACAAAAAATCATTACATAGCACAACTCCATCGTTGGACATTTTGTACTTGTACATACATACATACATACATACAGTCAAGTGTATATCTATGATCATCAATATTTTGTAGGTCAAAGAGTTTCCTACAATTATAGAAGACACATCGTTTGTAAGACTCTGGTTTAAACAGGATGACGAATACCTAGTACCAAAGGCCAAAATGTTCTTGGAATTTGTTAGGTATGTGATTCATTTAAATATTATGTGTTATATGTGGTTAATCGATCAGTTTGGTAATTATGTGCAATCACTACGGAAATTGTACCACAATCAGTGTCAGTTGCACAATCACCGACATTATCAAGACAAATTTTTTGTAACTTAAAACTCTGTAATTTTGAAGTGATTTCTTCTATTCGCTTGAAATGTTAATTGCAAAAGATTTATAATTATCGTGAATATTGCAGTTTGTTATATATGTATATATATATATACATTTTTTATATAAAAAATTTTGTGATATATTTTTTTTATATATCCGCAAAAATTATCCATAGTTACTAGTTTATTGTATGGAAATATATATTGAGAGATATGGTCGCAATTACGTGCGGTATAATTATTCTGTTTGTATTTTTAATCTCTCTTTATAGTCCATTTGCTTATATGGATCCTGTTAGTTGCAACTTGGGCTATATGTTTGTCCAGCTACTACAAGACTCGTTCACCGAGTATGTATACCCCGCCGATTTAGCTGGTTTACATTGGAAACTTAGCTATACGCAGTATGGAATAACAGTGAGTAAAGAAATGTTATGATAAGTGTAAATGTTATGATAAGTGTACAGTAATCATAGATTAGGTAGAGTTGGTTGCTATATGAGACTTGGAAACAATTATTTGTCACAATGAAACTCTCGCGAAAGAAAGCAAATAATTCTTCCTATTCTTCGACAAACATGGCGGTTATTCGAGCAGTTTTCTTTTTCTCCATAGTCGCAAGACTAATGAGATTTTATTCCTTTATTCGTGGCTTGTCACTCGTTCGTAGCTTGTCCAACTCTGCATTCTGTATTATGTTACACGCAATAATAACAACCTGTGATACACCTGCCAACTAAATAAACAAATCGAGAGGTACTTGAGAGAAAAAATCATTGCTTCTTCAGCTCAGTATATTTGGCTACGACGACAAGCAACATCTATTGCTGGAAAAAATTGTGGATCGAATGTTGAATCTTAAGATCGATCCAGAAAGATTCGAGATCTTGAAAGAAGATGTACGTACAATAAGAGATGGAACATTTTTTTGATCTATGAAAGAAAATAACCGAGAAAGTTTATGTGGTTTTTAATGTCAAAAGGCTGGTAGATTTTGATACAGTTTATCTGTTACATGCATAACACCACATAATTCTTATACTCACAATTCTCCAACTAAACCGCACGAATTTTCCCAGTTATTCAATAGTTGAGCCATGGTGTTACTCACTTTGAATATACTTACAGTATATCAGAGATTTGAAAAATTTTGGGGCCGAACAACCGTATCACCATGCAATCTACTATCTCGCACTTTTATTAGCAGAACAAGCTTGGACGAAAAATGAATTATTACATGCAACTGCTTGTAAGTATGTAAATTTATTGAGAAAGTGCACGTTATCTTCTATCAAAAAGTTTCTCTTCTTTTTCTTCCTCTTTCGATTTGTCTCTTAAAATTTATTTTTTATTCTTTTGTTGTATCATATGAATTTGACTGGATATATGAAATGTAAGAAAGTAAAAAATGACGAATTTTTGATGTCTAACCTAATACTTAAACATTCAAACGCGATTACAGGATATAATACTTGTCTTAAAAATAATGCGTGTCTCTCTTTACGCAGATTTAACTGTCAGTAGAGTTCAAGCGTTCATACCGCAGCTGTTTAGTAAAGTGCACGTGGAGTGTCTGATACACGGTAATATGATCGAGAAGGAAGCCTTGGATATAGTTAGACTAATCGAGTCCAAATTGAAAAGCGCGATGCCTTACATAATACCGTTGTGGCAGCAGCAGCTAGTGGTGCATCGTGAGATCAAACTCGACGATGGTGAGCAACAGCGAATATAGAAGCAATCGATTCGACTAGGAATTTCTGTCGTGTAAAGATTCACGGAAACCGCCATCGAGAATTGATCATAAATCTATCTTACGACATTTCAATGCATGCACTTGCTCGTTATTTTATTTCCATCATATATTAAGTTATCATTACGATATATTTCGCCATAGGTCGACACTTTCTATTCCAAACGGATAACAAATTGCACAAGAGCTCGTGCACAGAAGTGTACTATCAAATCGGTATGCAGTCGACAGAGTCGAATGTATTGTTGCAGCTACTAGCTCAAATAATCGGCGAGCCTTGTTTCAATATTTTACGAACTCAGGAGCAATTAGGCTATATAGTGTTCAGTGGTGTGCACAAGGTAAACGTGATGCAAGGCTTGAAAATCCTAGTTCAAAGTGACAAGCATCCGCGATACGTTGAGAAACGAATCGATATGTTCGTCAACTGTATGCTCGTAAGTACAACTATGCTCACTAGTATTTATTTATTCTTTTACTTCCCTTTTTTTTCTGCCTGATCGCAAATCATGTATGTATCTTTTACTGTACATTGTTATTTACGTTTCAGGATTACATATCCACCATGCCCGAAGAGAAATTTGAAAAGCATAAGGATTCTCTAGTGACGTTACGTCTCGAAAAACCAAAACAGTTATTTTATCGAACCAATATATTCTGGAGCGAAATTACAGCACAGAAGTATAATTTTGATCGGGTGAACATTGAAGTGGCTTATCTGAAGACCATAACGCGAGAACAATTGTTTGACTTTTTTAAGGTATCATGCCATAGATATATTGGTTTTACACTTTGCTTTTCACAAGTAATGATAACTATTACTTGGCAGCGGTTAATCACTGCCCAACATTACGTTACGTTGTATGCACGTTATCTTTTAGGAGAGCATACACGGCGCAGCTCGACGTAAACTATCGTTGCACGTCATATCCACAGCAACGGACGATGATGAGTCGACCGAGAAAAAAGACGAATTCAACGATGTATCAGTCGCAGAACAAGTTGAGAAAATCAACGATATCTTGTCGTTTAAACGCAGCCAGTCTTTGTATCCGGCATTAGAACCGTATCTGCACCAATTCCCTAAGAAAGGCATGCACTCCTCCAAATTGTAAATAGTGCGACCATAAGAGAGAATAGAGTTCTATTCTTCCTTTGCCGCAGGATCTCTGTCTCTTTTTCGATTTCTTGCATCGATTTTTCTCGTTTTTACTTTAAAGCGGATGCAAACAATTCCGGGTGGACGGCCATTCGTATATCTTGATTTCTAAAGCAAATATGATCAGGGTTGGGTAAGTTAACTTTTTTTTTAACTAAATTAAAGTTAATGGCTTTGAAAATTTAACTTAGTTAAGAAAAAGTTAACTCATAATGAAATTAATTGAATTAAAAGTTAATAAAAAAAGTAATTATTAGGTGTACAACTTTACTTCCGCCGTTTTCCTATAGATGGCTTTAGTGGTAAGTGGTGGTCGAAATAAATAGATCATAGACGTCATACAATAAACTTGGGCATCTGTCAACATGACCCCATAGAAACATTAGTCGATTTGTGTCTGCATCATAAAGTTATTCTCGATTGAAAATGTCAGTTTACGAGCTAAATTCTCGTCATTTGCGGGAGGTTTTAATTTTCTGCCTCAATATGAAGAAATCTGCGGCTGAGGCTCATCGAATGCTTTCAAATACTTATGGTGAGGCTGCTATTAGTGAAAGAACGTGTCGTGAGTGGTTTCAATGCTTCAAGAACGGTGATTTTGACGTCGAAGACCGGCATAGCGGTGGAAGAGAGAAGGTTTTCGAAGATGCAGAATTGGAAGCATTACTTGATCAAGACTCGTGTCAAAATCAAGAAGAATTGGCACGATCATTGGGAGTGAGTCACAAACCATTTCAAAACGCCTCAAAGCCATGGGAATGATTCAGAAGCAAGGAAATTGGGTGCCGTACGAATTGAAGCCGAGAGATGTTGAACGGCGTTTGTTTGCTTGTGAACAGCTGCTTGAAACGCAAAGACGGAAGGGATTTCTGTATTGCATTGTGACTGGGGACGAAAAATAGGTTCATTACGATAACCCCAAGCGTAGAAAATCATGGGGATTCTCGGCCATGCTTCCACGTCGACGGCCAAACCGAATATTCACGGCTCCAAGGTCATGCTCTGTATTTGGTGGGACCAGCTCGGCGTAGTGTATTATGAGCTGTTAAAACCGACTGAAACAATCACAGGCGATCGATATCGAACGCAATTGATGCGTGTGAGCCGAGCATTGAAAGACAAACAGCCGCAATACAACGAGAGACACGATAAAGTGATTTTGCAGCATGACAATACTCGACCCCATGTTGCGAAAGTAGTCGAGACATACTTGGAAACGTTGAAATGGGAAGCCCCACCCCACCCGCCGTATTCTCCAGACGTTGCTCCCTCTGACTATCACTTGTTTCGATCAATGGCACACGGCCTGGCTGACCAGCACTTCCGGTCTTATGAAGAAGTAAAAAAATTGGATCGATTCGTGGATCGCCTCAAAAGATGACTAGTTTTTTCGACGCGGGATTCGTACGCTGCCCGAAAGATGGGAGAAAGTAGTGGCCAGCGATGGACAATACTTTGAATCATAAATGTATAATCAGTTTTTTTACAATAAAGCCTCGAATTTCGGAAAAAAAAAACGGCGAAAACAAAGTTGTACACCTAATAAAAAGTTAAAAGTTAAATTTGTTTCATTTCATGACTTCAGGGTTTTAGTTTTACAAATAATGGAAAAAACAAATATACACCTTATTTGGAAACATGTTTTATTTAGAGATACTTTTTAAATTTAAGGTAATAAAGTTTTTTTTCGAAAGGACCCCACACTAATCATATAAAAAAAGTGGTTTCAGTCGAATTGACTGAAACTATGATATTTTGTAGCTTATGAGGTGCTGATCAAAAATCTTTAACAAAACGTGTGAAGAAATAGACAGTTTTGATAAATATATAGAAAATTGGTGCCACCTCGGATGGGCTTGACTTTAACATATGTTACAGAGGTCACTCTCCTGAAGATTTTAGCCGTCGCTCGTTGTTTGTTAAAAAGTTATTAACAAAAGAAGTTGCATAAAATGAATATAATTTTTGGACACCGTATATATGAAAACATCGAATTTGTAGGCTAGGAAGGTGTCTATCACTGCCCTAAGTAACATTCAAAAGGTTTTAACTCATAGTTTGTTAAAAACTTATTCACAAAAAAAGATACATTAATATCAACACAGAGTATATTATCTAAACAGAGTGTAGTATCTAAACGGTGTCTGCCCCTAGTCGTGTAATTGGGGGATTACGTCCCCCAGACCCCCCAAACCGCGGCGAGGGGAGCCAAGTTTCTTGTACTTAAGCTAAAGAGTGAGAATTTTTCACTCAAGAGACTTGACCCGCCGCGGTGCGGGAGGTCTGGGGTGCGTAGCCCAGTTACACGGCTAGGGACAGGCACCTTTTTTATTTTTATTATTTTTATTATTTATAAAATTTTAAATATAATAGGAACACACGTACACACAGCGAGCCCGCCCGGGCGTTGTCAAAAAATTATATTTATTTGATGCAACTTCTTTTGTTAATAATTTTTTAACGAACAACAAGCGACGGCTAAAACCTTCAGAAGGTCACTCAGGAGAGTGACTTCTATAACATATGTCAAGGTCAAGCCCATCGGAGATTGCATCAGTTTTCTATATATTTACCACAGTTTTTTTTCTAGCGTCATTAGAAAGTTGCTATTTTAGGTCTAATCGAATCTTTATCTACAGTATACAGATTACTTTTTTAACTGTATAGGCGTTTATATATAACCATACGTGTATCCATTATTGAATAGATTTATGCTTAGTGTATGTATGTGGTGCGGGAGGGGAGGTGTAACATGGGTGTGTATTAGTATGTATTTGGATCGATAGTTATTCTATTAGTATGCGTGTGTGTGTTGGGTGGATAGGTTACACACACACACACACACACATTTTTTTGGATGTAATAATGTCAGACATACTAATAGAATAACTATCGATATAAATACACACATATCAATATACTCTCATATTACATTTCCTCCCCCTCCCGCACCACATACATACACTGAGCATGAATCTATTCAATAATGGACACACGTATGGTTATATATAAATGCCTATACAATTAAAAAAGTAATCTGTGTATTGTAGATAAAAGTTCGGTTAGACCTAAAATAACAACTTTTTAGTGGCGCTAGAAAAAAAACTCCATTTTTCACACTTTTTGTTAAAGATTTTTGATCAGCATTTTATAAGCTAAAATACACAGTTTCAGTCAATTCGACTGAAACCATTTTTTTCATATGATTACGGGATCCTTTTTGTTAGACATTTTTCCTCGAAGATTGTAAAAAATGAGCTCTCCTGCACTGAACAGCCTTTCGACGTCTCGCGACACCTTTATGGCATGATTAACTTCAAGATAATTGAATTAAAAGTTAATAGTTACCGATAAAATATAACTAATTTAAGTTAAAAGTTAAGAGTGTAAAAATGTAACTAAGTTAAGTTAAAGCTATTTAACATTTTAACTTAACTTTTTAACTAATTACTACCCAACCCTCTGAATATGATGATTAGTAAATCGCCTTTTTATCGCAAATTGATCCTGGGAAATTTAGCGTATTGATTTTACAAGTGTACGGCAGGTATAGAAATAGAGTGTGCAAATTTTTATTCCAACATTGTCTCATATCGTTCAGATTTCAATTATTGTGTAAATTAATATTGTCTTGAAATCGATATATGTGCACACTTATAGACAATTCTTTGACGACTTCTCTACGAACGTTAATCATGGGAATGTACCGGAGGTACTTAAAGGTAGTCGTTTCGCTTATTTTATAAAATTTAGCAAAATAAAAGATAAATTGTCCTCTAATCGCGTAGCGCACGACTTTTCACTCGTTCTGCCTGTTAGATACATGTGCTACCTTTGTAAAATCTCACGTATCGCGAGTGGAGAGACACAATATTAATGTCTTTATTTTAAAATATCTCGATTAAGACACTTGGATCTTGTCACTAGCTAATAATAAAATGCAAAATACACATGCCGCTATAATTTGTACCGATGCAAACTTGTCAAAGATCTATATTTTTTTATATTTCTCGTTAGAAATTGTATATATACTGGACAGAAAGTAACAAAACGAAATAAAAAAATTTGTCACATGTCTTATTTTATGCTTGATGGAATAACTAATAAAGTATAAAAATGCTTATCGCAAAAAAACTATAGGTGATGGAGAAATTCTAAGTTTATGTTCGAGTTTAGTGTCTAAGAATATATTAAAATACATCTAAAATAATCCATGTGACCAAAGGATTTTTTAATAGTGTTATCAATTTGATGTAGTGAAATTTGCTAGGTTACACGATGATTAATAAATGTATAAATTAAATATAATTTAAATATAAATTAATACGGTTTAAACATTATAGATATGAATATCCAAATATGTCGCTTTTCCCTCGTGTGATCCTTTATTTTTTAATAATCCCTTTCCTACATTCGTCCTTATCTTATTATTTGTTAAATGTTTGTGTGATTGCCGATATCTGAACGGTTAACTAATGATGAAGTAGCAATGCTTATACGATTTATTGACTTTCTCTCGCGTCAGTACAAAAATAAAAAATTACTTATATATCTATAAAATAGAAAGTATATCTTGCAGTTGGAAACTCTTCAGTGTAACAAAAATATAATAATAGTGACATTATTGTAAGTAATTAATAAACGTAATTTAACTACTACTTCGTTAAACGCTGCGCAAATAAATTATTAATAATAAATTATTATTAATAAATTAATTAATTAATGAAATGATACTTCTCACTGATAACTAAACCTAATAGTATATAATAACTAAATAATATATAATATAAAAAATGGCTGTAATCACGATAATTCTTTTAATCTCTAACAGTCTTTCAGCAATATTCCTTCAGATTTGGTATCTGCAAGCTCTCCACATTTTTCATATGTCGCTGCGAGTAAAGATGACCGCGCAAATTCAACTGACTGAACACTTCCACCTCGCATAATTTGCAATAAGTGCTCATGTTGTTCATCTTGCGTGTGTTCCTGATAAAGAAATAGAGAAATATAATAATGAGTTGATTTATATATTTTCTTCTTTTCATCCTATCTATTAATGCAAAAGTATCAGTGTCTAAGTAATAACACAGTGTCTAAGTAGTACCAAACTCTGGTCATTTTTATTGTTTTAGTTTTTAAATACGAATATTGAAAGTTTCAATATGAAAAACATATATTTATTAATTTATTATTTGTGTGTGTATATTTTATTTTTTGGAAAAAAGTTTCAGTACTCGTATTTAAAGATCAAAATAATAAGAATGCTCAGAGTTGAGTAACCAATAATATTACTGTCCTGCCATTGGTACTTTCACTTCATGTTGAAATTTTCACTATCGTTAACTACACTCGATTAATATTATCGTAACGTTTACCCATAACGCTTATTGAAATTGTAGAAAAAAAAATTTCCCGGAGTTTTTTCTTAAGTTTTTGTCTTATTTTCTCAACTTATTGTTCCACTATCAATCTAAACAGTTTAGTTAGTTTAAAATAAACTCATTTTCTACTCATACGATTATAAGATTTAAGATCTATTTACATACTCGGACAATTTATGTAATTCCACGAGATGTGTCATCATCTCTTCCAGTTGATAATTTCTCTCTTGCAGCTTTAACGCTTTATGCAAAGTATACATTTCGCCTTTTCTTGCGTTACGAACGGCGTGCAGGAAGAAGGATTCCTGATAACGATTCCATTTGTCGGAGTCGGCGATCTCGAAAGAATCCTGCAAGCGTTCTCTGTGTCGGCCTCCCAGCTCCAGCAAAGCGCGTTTCATGTGATTTTGACAATTTATTATTTCCTCGTCGTCGCTGTCGTCATCGTAATCGTCGCCGAAACTATTATTATTTGGTAGTTGCATGCCGGTATTCATCCAATGGCGCAATTTATTTATCTGTGGACACAGAAGAGAAGCTTATAAAAAATTGATTATCAGTATATATATATATATATATATATATATATATATATATATATAACGATTAAAATAAAGACAAATTATCTGAAAAGATAATGATAAGGATACCAAGTACAAAACCAGGAAGAATTATCTCTAGAAAACAAATTAATACCGCGCATACCTCTCGCAAATCATCGTTTGAGATCTCTACGTCGAATGAAATCTCCATATCGTGATTCGATAATAAGCCTATGCCAGTGCTGTCCATCGGGCCCAATCCGCAAAGCGCTCCGGTGTAATACGTATTCAAGGCATTGCATCTCAGTTCGACGCGCGGTGCGAAAATCAGCGCGAGCAACGCCGTAAGTCCCGGCACGTTTGGCAGTAAAGTGGTGTTACGCAACGATAGCGAATTATCGTTATCGTTCAGTCGATGAACGCTTTGCGCGACCAGCAGACGCGTCGATCGATCGCAATTCTCATCGAGAAGAACGGAGTTGACCGAATTGTATTCGACGAACGCTCTCTTGACTTGGCCGGCTGTTCTTAGCTGGAGGATATCGATTTCGAGTGGTGAATAAGGACCTTGGAGCTGTACCAACGAGTCACAATCTTCCCTTCCTGGTGGACAGGGATACTGAAAACACAAAACAGATTGACATCTAGAATCTGCACATTGAAACGAAGAAAACCGATACCGGTGGTCTTTTCAGTTTTCAATTGTGCGACTACTAAAATTAGCAGATATTTGAAAATGACGGTGATTTTGTCGAAAGAAGGCGCGCGAAATATCGGACATGAAGAACCTTCTCCTATTTTGTTATTCTATCGATAGATTAGTTTTTATCTTTTATGTTCTGTTGGAACATAATTCGAACCTATTCTCGAACTTGACGAAATGATTGATTAACCAAATGAAACTCTCAACTCACCTCGGAGAAATTGTCCTCGTTATACTGTCGTCCCTCCTGAAACGACTTTTCTTCCGGCGACATTGAGTTCACGACACTGGATTTGACTCGTAGATCGTGATTATGCTTGGACAAGAAGCTTTCCTTTCTACTTATAGCGTGCCCTTTTTCGATTAAATAGTCATTGATATTTAATTCCTCATTATTCTTGTGGGTAACGATCAATTCTAAATTAACGGTATTATTTGCAACCGAATAAATTTTCCCAAAGATCGTCTTGCTTCCGCGAATTTGAGCTTCGAAGCAATCTCGCGACACCCTCGACCATCGTCCTTGGGAATTGCCGATCTCATACGAAGGACGAATGGTGGCCAAAGCGCATCGAAACGCCAGACACGGTAACTTTGAAATCGCGACGTCATCGATCACTCGTAAGTCGCTGGATCGTACTTGAGAGATGCGACCATGATCGATGAAAAAGATATTCACAATTTTCATATTGTATTCCTCGACTATTGCGCGGTGATACATTGTCGGAGAATCGTTTCTTTCCATGGGAGCAGCAACGATAGTTTTGATTTTTGGCGGAAAGAGATATTCTTTCAGGGGACGTGCGTTGAGGGCGGCCTCGATTCTTCGCATTTTCTTGTGAGTTTCATCGTCATTCAGAGTAGCCCAAAAATATCCCGGACTAACGATCTGTAAATATCGATTGTAGAATTGTAAATAAATCCTTTACAGCTTGTAACAAGCGATTTCGTAATTGTGTGTATATATGTGAGAAAGAGAGAGAAAGAGAGAGGGAGGGAGGGGGAGCAGGGGATAACTCACATTTTGTATAGACAAAGGTACAAAAGTTATATCAAGACCTGGCAGTTCCGGCTTGATCTTAAACAGGTCACTTCTAGTTTTACATGTAATTCCTTTTTTGAAGAAAATAGTGTTTTCAAATCTATCCAAATCCTCATTTTTGCTCCTATCGTGTGCCTTATTCTTGTTTAACAATCCAATCTTTATCGGAATTTCGCAATGTCGCATTTTAACAGATGTATAAACAAAATCCGATATTCTATACAAACTTTCGTCGCTATTGATCGTCTCTTTCTCGGAATATTGTACGTAAACTCGTGCCGAGCCATCGAACGAAACCATTATCCGCTCTTTCGGAATACCATGGTGATGGGAAAATATCTCCTGAAATCTTTTCGCGTACAAGTAACCCGGTTGGTTAACCGGCCAACCTCGCATATAAATGGTCTTTAAAGGATCCAAGGCGTTCAGACTTCTAACGATGTTATCCTCGTTAATTTCAACGCTGTGGAAACGTTTGACGAAATAGTTTGGATAAAAAGCGCCGGCAATAATAACTTGCAGCACGAAATTGCGTTCCTGGCCCTCCCAGATCACCTTGAAGCAAAATAGCGAAAAATAACATGTCGTTTTTTTCTCTTAACGATATGTGTGCGATTGCACGAATTTATCTCTTACTTTGCGCACGCCGACCGTCTCCCTCACGCCCAATCTCATCAATCTGTGAATGATCTCTTTGACGAGAACGTCCAGCTCGCGTAAGGTCCGTAGTTGGACTCCGTTCCTTTGCGCCCACTGCTTCTCTGTCTGATAGAAAGTGAATCGGCGATTGGCCTTCTCGTTTTTCCACATTTTATATACATTCAGCGCAGCGATGCAATCGCTATCAGTCTCGCGAGCCCATTTTTTCTTCGTCGAATACGACGAGACGTTTCCGCGACATTCACTTTGGACAAACATGTCTTTGAGTGCCATGCTGGCGCCCAGCACGATGGCATCTCGTAAAATTCCGAAAATGTGACCCAACATAATTAATTTAGAGATTTGTATATCGAGCGGTAAGAACGCCATTATTCTTCCCATGTCGGTCAGCTCACCGTCGTAGGGTTGATAGATTGAGTTGTCGTTCATCAGGGCGCCGGCCTCTTTTAGGTATAAAATAGTGTCCGATAAGTTCTGGAGACGAGGTGGATCCAGGCAGAAGGCGAGGAGAGAACGAGGATTGCCGAAAGCGAAGATTTTGGCACGCAGAACAATGTTGGCCAGTGGGGCGCGCAACATCTCCGGTATGCCCTCGTCGTCGAGTATACGCTGCAAATGTTGATTTGTGTAATAGCTCGTAACAAGATATACACATTTACTGCAAGATTAAATTTACCCACGTGATAAAATGCTTTCGGCACCAATCTGTACACCCTACCATCCATCACGCGGCCGGCACGACCCGCCCGTTGCACGCAACTCGCTTTGCTTGTCCAACCAAGTTGCAAGGACTGATAATTGGAAACGGTATCGAGAGCAACCATTTTGACGAGGCAAAAGTCAATCACTGCAATTCGTTATTACAGATTAAGTTAATCAGGTTTATATTGTTCGCGTTATTTGCGGTGTAATTTTTCTTGTTATATGTTTATTTGCTTGACAACTTACCGTATTTGACATCCGGCACTGTAATACTGCTTTCGGCGATGTTCGTCGACAGTATGATTCGTCGATGATGTGCCGGGACCTTGTAAAAGACACGTTGTTGCTCGTCGCCGGAAATCATCGAGTGTAACATTACTAAGTCCCACAATCTATCCTCGTAACATTTGGACGATAAAAATATATATAGTTCCTCGATCTCGTAGATACCTGGCAAGAAAACGAGAACCGTGTGTCTTTGCGATGGTAAAGTGGAAATGCTTGTTTTCCTTTCTTCCTGTTTTTCGTCATTGATATCAATCTGATCGAAGGCAATAATAATTTCCGTGCAAAAATTGATCATGGATTGAGTGACTTTTGGTTCAGAAGGAAGCACCTTTGGTATCTACAGAGATAATATGTTGATAAAACATCTTCACCAACATCTTGCAAGTTCTTCAATTATTAGTTATACATAATTGATGTGGTTCATCAATACAAGGAATAATAGATAAAGTAACTTACTTCGCCCAAATTTTTAATCTCATCCAGGTAATATGTATAAGTCTCGAAACATCTCTCCTCAGGGATTTTTATGACAGGTGCTGGTACTAATTTGTTTCCCACTCGTACAGAAAAATATTCGGCAAATTTATTTACGTCGATCGTTGCCGACATGAGGACCACCTTTACCAGGCTGGAATTCGTTTTCAGCAACTTCTTTACGACCAGCATAAGAAAATCCATTTCTTGATTACGCTCGTGAATTTCGTCCAATATGATGTGTGTATAATCAAGCATGTGTTTCTGTTGTATCAAATGCTGCAGCAGGATTTCAGTAGTACAGAATGTCAGCCGAGTATCACAGGAGACTTGATGCTTCATGCCAACTCGGTAGCCTACGACACTGCCGAGCGGCCAACCACCTTCTTGACTCACACGTTTTGCGATGTTGATTGCAGCGATTCGTCGGGGTTGCGTCACTGGGGTTGCAAAAAAGAAAGAATTACGATTAATCTACAAAATTTACTTATAACAAATTCATCCATAATAATCTCTTTATTGTGTTTGTCTTAAATCGAGATAATTCAGTCTGTATGTGCAAAATATTAATCAATCCAAAAGAAATACCTATAATGTTGCAGTAATATCTCTTCTTGGTATTGGCATCCAGAATAAGCTGAGGAATCTGAGTGGTTTTCCCACAGCCTGTCGGTCCTTGAATTACAACCACAGGATTTGCGTCGATCATTGATAATATTGTGTTTTTCATTGGCAAAACAGACAAATTAGATTTTGGTTTGTAAGTAAAATCACATTCTCGATAGGATTTGGCCAAATTTTGACTATAATGCTCCTGTTGTTCTTGAGTTACTGCTTTGCATTCATATCGTTCTTTACTCACATTTGCATCATTCATAAACTGCAAATTAGTAAAGTAAAACTTTTTATTTATCCAAAAAATAAGTTATATATTGCATCATCTTGATATTCTTCCTGGTTTCTATTATTTACAAATTATAAAGAATAGAAAAGTAACTCCATTAGAAAAACAATACATATATTTGCAACTTTGATATTAATTTTTCACAGAAAGTATTAATCTCTTATAAGAGAAAAAAGATTTAAATACTTGACTTTCATTAAAATTTTTTGCTACTGACAAACAATAGGCCAAAAGAGATTAAAATAAAAGGAATAAATTTTAAGGAATAAAGTTTAAGGAATATTAATAAAATTTAAGGAATAAATTTTTCTTAATATCATTATAGGATATAAACTTTCATAATACTTACTTCTCTTACTTTTAGATATTCCTCTGCTGCTTTCTCAGTATAATTCTTTATGTAGTCTTGTTTCTCCATATCTGTGAATTCATCAGAGCAATTATGTTCAATACTTGTGGAAGTTATAGTTGATCAAATAAACAGGTATACGTTGCAAATAAGTAGATATGCAAATAATGCAAGATCAATAAATGGAACAAATAGGTGTATACATTATGTGTATATGTGTGCGTAAATATCATATCATTATAAAAAATATTACTTCCATAGACTAAATGTATACCCACAAATATTGTAATTTAAATTACACATTACATGTGTTTTATTATTATATAATAAATATTTAAAATTTATAATCTCTCTATATTTATACCGTATATAACGACAATAAATATTAATATATTTACAATAGCTTTACTTTTTATATTTTTATTAACCGGTAATGGAATAGTTTCTAATCTTAAATGTCACACTCAAGTCATTGCGAGATCAATTTTAACGACGAAAATTTAAATGTAAAATTACTTCCTTCCTTCCTTCAATATTTGGCTAGAAAATGGAAAATTACTGATTTATTGATTTACGGACCTAAGCGAATCTTCAACGATGACTTTAGCACCATACAGGAATCTCTCTCTCTCTCTCTCTCTCTATAGTTTCAAGCTTGGTTTCTCTGTGGCACTTTCACCACATTCATACGTCCCGATCTACAATAGGTGTAATGGCTCCTACACACAGGACGCGATAATGCTTGCCGCGCGGCGGAAGTCCGCGCTACAGCCAATCAATATGTTGTTTTTCCGTAAGAGCTAGAAGGTTATTACGAAAAGCAGCATATTGATTGGCTGTCGCGCGAACTTCCGCCGCGCGGCAAGCATTACCGCGTTCTGTGTGCAGGAGCCATAAGGGCCGTGGCATACAGAAAAACTTAAATGCTAAAAAATTGCCTCTTTCAATGCTAAAAAATGATGGATTTGTACATATATATTACGCATCCATTGTTAAATTCATGGCATAGCGGTTGTGTTGAATATTAATAAATTTGGCCAGCTGGATTGTTTGTTCTTTTTAATTTGAGGTTATATGGACGCTATTGTATGATAGAAATATGCATATATTACGCAGTCTGCGACAAAACTATTCCGCAGATTCCGCTAAAAACTGCTGAAAAACGTGGAACGCTCGTGATTGGTTCCGCTCTCATTCGCGCTCCGCTATGCCGCTAGGGTGCGTTTAGATTCCTCTCATCCTGGTGCACTCTATTACTAGAAACCCTATAGTATATGTTATGGCTGCGTTCCGAAATTTACTGCCAGTGCTGAAATTCTATAGCATACGTAACATAAGCTATAGATTTTCAGTACTGGCAGTGAATTTCGGAATGCAGACTATATATACTATAACACTTCTAGTAATAGAAGACACCCGGTTGGGGAATCTGAACGCTGCATGGGTTTGCACCTTAGGGTGAGTTCCCACTTAGCGCGTCACGCGCACGTCATCTTTCGCGGACTAATCAAATTGTTCCATTTTATTGCTTAACTTTACGACGAATAAAATGGGACAATTTGATTGGTCCGTGAAGGATGACGTGCGCACTAAGTGGGAATGCACCCTTAGAGCATATATATATGGAAGAGGAATGCGTATGCCTCCTGAGCTGCGTTCCAAAACTCCACTCGACGGCTAGAGTAGTATTTAATTCATCAATCATTAATCAATAAGAAATAACTAGGATTTCTTTGTTATGAGTGGACAATTTCGTCCGTATTCATATAAGGTTTGTTCTTTCGACCTGAACTGGCTGCACTAGTTCACGAAGTTTGCACTAATGCGTTCTTTCGATTAGAACAGTGCACGAAAATGTGTTCTTTCGAACAGTGCAGGCTGAACTAGTGCAGCGAGTTCAGTGAACTGACTGCCCTAGGTCTGGAGGTAGAGCAAGCAGTGCAGGGCAGCTAACCGAAAAAATTTAAATTTGTATCTATAACCTGTAAAATCGGTATACCTAGTTGACATTACATAGAAGAAATAATCCGACGACGGAATCTATAAACAGTAAATAAATACTTAAATATATAATAAATATATAATGTAGGTAAATATATAATAAATATATAATGTAGAATGACATAAAAGAAGTATTTAAAATGTTATCCAAACAGCACAAAATATCCGAAAGACATCCTGGGAAGGCTCTTGGACGTTTTTTCGGAGGGATTTGTTGTATAGGTATCCAACACAAAACAGTTTTTAAAAGAAATAGGATTGTTCAACAAAACATAAAATGCTATAAGTGCGAAAACATGACCATAAATTGATCTATGTTATTCAATCCAGCCATGTCCGCCATCTTACACTGCTCTAACTTGCTCTTACCCGTTCTTTTCAGACCCATATGTATCTTTGCACTGGTCTGCACTATCTTGAACTTTCTTCAACTAGTACAGTTCCAGTGCAGTCGTAGGTCAGGTCGAAAGAACAAACCTACAGTCTGTATTCCTGTAATTTTTTCATATACGTAAGTTTCATTTTACGCAATTGTTTTATGATATGATTATACCTGCGCAAAGGAATTTACGTATACACAAAATTTTCAAGAATATGAGCTGTGTCGCTTACAGAGAGAGAGAGAGAGAGAGAGAGAGAGAGAGAGAGAGAGAGAGAGAGAGAGAGAGAGAGAGAGAGAGGTGAGAAAAAGA